AATAGTAGTGTATAGACTCCATATAATAGCTATTTTATAAGGTGAGCCTCAGTCAATGTTATTTCCTGTCACCCACCTCTCTTACTTACACACAGATCTTGCTTTCTGGCCTTATTTATCCACTGTATTCTTATTTTCAGAGGTCAAATTCCAGTGCCCACTTCCACAAATCTTATTGAACTCAGTTACTGTGAAACATATCTAGCTAGGAGAACTTGGTTTCATTTTATCTTTTCCTAGTCACATGAGAAAAAGAACATGTACCCAGCTGTAAGAATTCAGGGAGACATGGTGGGTAGAAATCTCTACTCGTGATTTTGATTGTCCCTATTGATACTTCCTTGGCCATTATTGGAACCTTAATCAATTAAGGGAATATCTAAAAATGAATGAGGAAAATAGGCTGGGAGGGGAGAGGTAAGGAGAAAGGAGGTTGAGAGTGAAAAACAGTTCAAATATAGAGGAGAAATAATATGGCTGTGGACTGGAAAGGAATGCAGAGAAATAAGTAAGAGGACAGAGGTAGAGGTGGGAAGGATGGAGGTTAGTAGGAAAGAAAAATAAGAATGCTAAAGGATTTTGGAGGGGAGAGAAGTGCTAAGACCAGAAGAAGAGAAGAAAAGAAACAATAAAGCTTAGCAATAGAGAAGGCAGAGAAAGTGAAGATGAATGAGCTGTGAGAGAAAAAGATTAGACTGGACACCAACATACTGTTCCGGCCCAAGTACATGGAAGGGAGTCTGTAAGCAGTGTTTTTAAGTAGTTTTTTTCCTGTCTGGGATTTGGGACGAAGAGTTTTCTAGAACAAATTAAATATATTATTTAAAAGGGATCTTGCTCTTAAATTTACTAAGAGCTTTGTTCGTCAACATTCACAGCACAGCATTCACTAGTATCCGTTTTCATTTTCTTGAAGTACTTATTAAGCTATCAAGAGTTCATACATATCTGGCAGCATGTCAGCAGCATTTCAAATTGGGAGCAAAGATAGCAAAAATGGTATCTATAACCTCTTAGTTATTACGTTTGGGCTTGAGTTAGAATGATGGTAGCAATAATCTTAGTCACAATTACCAGAAATAAATAAGAAGTTCCTTCACTGCAAATATGTGTCTGAAACCAGTTTTAAAAAAATGAATCTGCCCTTGTGAGTACTGTGTGGCTAAGATCCTAAATATATTATACTTATATTCAGACATTTTGATGGAATCGTGAAATGATTTGCTGAATCAGACCAAAAGCTTATTCAATCCAGAATCCTGTTTTCCATAATTATCAATTAAATGCATAGAAATGTTATCAGAATGTCTCTGACAAATAGTTTAGAAATCCTTTTCTAATCTAGTTGTCAGAGACATTCAAAAATATTCCACCAGCAAAGCTCTCATAACAGAAATGTATGTATTTCTTTGTACTAGGAGAGACTTCAAAATAATAGAGCACTATTAGATACCATACCAAGTATAAATTGTTGCTAATTACTTCACTTACCAATAAAAATTGGAACAGGAAACGCCATCACTAAAGGGTGCAGTCATAAGGTCATGGTCCCTTGGCTATGCTGACTTGTGACAGCAGTTCTGGTAGTCCCAGTTTCTTTTAGATGAATCCTGCATAGTCATGTTTGCCATTTGTGAGCTCCTGTTAACTTCCCATTGACTTATCTTGTTGAAAGCCAGCAGCGAAGGTCATTAATGGCAATCACATGACTGCAGAATGCTATGATCTCATATTTGCAAGCAGATTGCCAAGCGCCTGAATCATCATCATAGGGATGCTACTACAGTCTCAATTACGATGATTCATCATATGTCCCTCTCATTCAGCACTGTTGTAACGTTGAATAGTCGCTGTTAATCAAGGATTACTTACACTACATATTCAGACCAAATCAGAATATGTTTAACTTTAGTAAACATTTTATCTTGAAAGCTTGGTTATTCATTAACACTAGGAATGTTTGATCTCTCCAATAAAGAAAGAAATGTTTTGCTGAATAAGAAAATGATACATTGTGGATTATTTTCAGAGATTTTTACTTGATTTTTAAATCAGAAGTAGTGGGTTGATAATTGTTTTTAAATAGTCAAGTCTTAATTTTGAAAGTAAATCAGAGTTCTTCACTATTTAACAATTGATGTATCCTCAGTCCAGAACTACATTGTACATGATAACATCTGCCTTTCCTTTGTTTATTGGGACAGCCATTGTGTTCTTTACTAAATAATTATATTTTTCAATCAGAAGACATTCAGATACAGGTAGTCCTTGACCTATAACTATTTGTTCAGCAACCATTTAAAATTACAATTGTGCTGAATGAATGCTGGTTACAACTGGTCCTTGAAGTTCCAGCTGTCTCAATAACCCTGCAATGATTACTATCTAGACACTTATCAATTTATGACAAGTTGGTTTCTTGCAAAAATGCCAAAAATTGTAGTCATGTGACCACAGGATGCTGCAAACAGCTATAAATGCAGGCTGTTGCCAAGTGCCAAAATGCAATCATATGACTGTGGGGGAGGGGGCAAGCCATCAGAACTTTGAAACCAGGTCATAAGTAATTTTGGCGAGGTCCATCATACACTTGGACCAGTCACTAAACATCCAGTCATAAGTTGTACTTGTACTTGTAGCTTGGTATCATCATGCTGGTCAAAGTTCATAATAAAAATGTTTCTATTTCAGTTCCAGTTGCATCTGAATTATATCCTTTGTTTTCATATAACAATGTTACTGGAGATTATAAATTTAATGCTTGATTTTTAAGTAATTATTTTCATAGTAAATTATTATTGAATATTAATTTCTTTATATTGGGAAGTCTTGATGCTTAAAGTTATGCAGCCACATTTGATTGGATTTGGCTTACCTAAATCATACAGATTTTCCAAGTTACTTTAGATTAAATCAAGACTTTTCAACCAGTGGTACGTGTACCACCTATGGTACATTGGGACCTGGCAGGTGGTATGCGACCATCCTAGAAAAGTGGTAGCGGGGGAGGGGAATGAGCTGAACTGGTGGCAGCACCGCACAAGCCTGAGCCAGAGATGGCTGGAGCTGCAGGGCTGTCAGGGCTCAGCGGAAGTGCCAGGATCAGCACCAGTCTCCAGCTGGAACTCAGCGCTGATCCTGGCGCTTCTGAGACCAGAAGAAGCACCGATCAGCTGGAATGTTGCAGCATCTCCAGGGTCTTGTGATTTACATTTAGATGCTTGGCAACTGATTCATACTTATGACAGTCACAGTGTCCCAGGGTCATGTGAAGTGATCAAAACCTGCTGCAACCACCCAGCAGACGGGGGAAATAAAAACCAAACACCCCCCCACCCCACCTTGTTACCAATCCTCAAAAGAAATGCTCACAACAATGAAAACCTCAGACAGGAGGAAGAGTGCCGCCGGGCAGGCAGGCAGGTGTCTTGCTCGGCTGTGGCTTGGAGGCACTTTTTTCAATGCCATTGTAACTTCGAACAGTCATTAAACGAACTGTTGTAAGTCGAGGACTACCTGTACTTTATCACTTTTTTCCTTTTTTTTCGGTCATCAAGTTTTTGATACCTTGCTAGGCTACTGGTAGTACTCAGATGTTGCCATATCCTAAAAGTGGTACAATGGGTGAAAAGGTTGAAAAGCCCTGGATTAAATCATCAATATTTTATGAGATACTATACATACACATTTGAATATTTTTTTTCCTCCCAGAGCCTACCAACTGTGCTTTTATGAGAATTTTATGTACTGACATTTTACTAGTGCCCTTCACTCTGAAGTGCTTTCTTGTAAATGTCAGGGAACACTCAGTGTAACAATTCCTATTTCTTGAATAGATGCAATAGCTCTTTTTGCAAAAATGAGCTCCAGAAAGTACACTTGAGTCTGCATTGTGAACAGAAAATTCAGTAGAAAATAGAGGAAAAATGTAGACATATTCTCTACAATGGTTACATTGGATAAAAAGGCCCTGCTTGTGTAGTATGCTTAACCAGGCTATGAGAGAGGAGATAGCATACTGTACAAACTGTGTAAGCTGCAAGAATGAAAATTAATCCAAACATCTCTGGTCTAAGTATGGGGCTAATTTCCAAATGTCACATAAACTATTTCCTGGGGTTCCTTGTCTCTCTTCACCCCTGAAATTGTGATGACATTATAGAAGACTGTCTATAAGAGATAGAGTAAATGTGGCTTATTTCACCTCCCTTGCTGGAAAAAAATCCCCACAGAGGTGAAAAGGGGATAGCACGATTTTCCCTGTTGCTCATTACACAACCACAGTTTTTAAAAAAAACAGAATTTTAGCTGGTGGGCAAAAAAAAAAAAAAAAAAACATCACCCAACAAATGGAGAACAATGAGAGTTTCTCAGACTACTTTATAGCAGCTGGAGTAATTAAAACTCTGGTACGTAACAGATTCAGATATCCTACTTCATGTATTACTAGTTCCCAGAGTCTATTGATGGGAGTGGTCTCGTTATCTGAGCAAGCAAAGAATTCCTCTTACATGAAGGTTGTAATCCTATACTTAATTATCCGAAAAAGTTTCATTAAGCTCAGTGAAATTTATTTCTGAATAATTATTTTTAGAACTGGGCTGTAAATTATTTCTACATTCCATTCTAAAAATGTCATTGTTTAGTCTCACTATTTTCAGTGGAATGAAATGCAACTAATTTAATATAGATTATAAATTAAGTTTATAATCATTTTAAGAAATTTTGTATTACAGGTCTAATAAAGTTTTATTATTAGTGGTCATGTTTCTCATAGTTTACCAGGGTTATACCTGAAATGCCTTTGAAGCATTCTGAAATGTACATTTTTATTTTATTTAATTTTATTTTTTAATAAAATAGTAAAATATGGTCATGTATATGGACTTTAGTTAATGTTTCTGCTTTTCTTGGTCCCAGTGCTATATTGCATTAAAGAGTATATTTGTGAATATGTATGTGTGTGAACATTGACTAATTTGAATCTGCCTTTATTATAGATTAAGCTACATGGATCATGCAGAGGATCTGGCTTCCAAATTACTCCAGTGTTTCCCCAAAAACAGATTGTCAGCACAGGCAGCTTTGAGCCATGAGTACTTCAGTGATCTTCCTCCACGGCTATGGGATCTAACTGATAGTGAGTATTCCAAAACACCTATGTAACAAAAGAGTTTTCTATATGAAAGAGAAGGAGAGGGAGGGAGGGAGAGGGAGAGAGAGAGAGAGAGAGAGATGAGGAAAAATTGTTTTTTCTTTTTCTCTATTCTTGAGCCTATAAATAATTATCTTTATATTTGATTATGTGTGTGATTAAGAAAATTATATGAGATGCCATAAAGAGAAAAGGGGAGAAATTTAAATTTACATATTTAGTGCTTTTTTACTTTATAACCTGCAGTATTTTTAAGCAGCTTCAATATCCAAACTATAATGTTGGATTCTCAAACACTACTTCTACTTTCCAAAATAACTAAGAAACGCAAAGCAGAAATTAGGTTAATTTCTAAGATTATTCACTTGTTTACTGAGATGCCATGATATTGGTTTATTTTGCCTACCTGCCACCCCCAAGACTGAGATGGAATATTTGATGTGGCCCTAGACAATTGGTGCTTTGATTCGCTGGGGTGGTTTAGTCTGCAGGAGGGAGATCTGGGGGAGTCCTTGAAAAGGACCTGAAAAATTTGGTGTGGGGTAGCTAATCCTGGGCTGTGAGGACTTTTGGGGCTGGATGGGCTTACCAACAGTGTTTTCCTCTTGCAAATAGATTTTGGATCTGGCACCAACCAAAATTCCAGGGGAGAGGAAGTAGGGTGACAGTTGTCATCCACAAGTTTTTGCTGGCTTTCAGAAGCTCTTTTTGCAGACCATTTGGGAAGTTTCTTGGTTGAAGTTAACCTGTAAGGAATAGCCATTGGATTCCATTGCTGGCCTGGCAATAGAAATATTGAAACTGATAGTAATCAGTGTTTACAATTTGCCAGCCTGATGATGTTAGCAGAAATCTGGGACAGCTCAGGAATTTGTGGCAACTATGGCACCTACACATCTGTCACGTCATAACAGGCTGAACATAAATTGGGGGCTGCACATTAGATCAAGTTTTTGTCTCAGGACAGTTGTGTCTGATCTGGAGGATATTGTTATTAATTTATTGTCAGATCACTCAGTGGTTGCTTTTTGGCCTGGCAAGGGTAAGACAGCTGTTAGATCAATTTGCCTTGGGTGCCTGAAAGACATGGCTGGGTTTCAGAGGAAGCTTGGGATTTTTTCTGAAGATCTAGGTGGCAATTCTACCTGAGACTTTGATTACAACTGGAATAAGAGAGTGGCAGAAAACCTAGCAGACCAGTGATGGCGAACCTTTTAGAGACCGAGTGCTCAAACTGCAACCCAAAACCCACTTATGTATCATCGGGTGATGGGTGGGCGTGGCCCATTGGGTGGACATAGCTTCGGTGGTAACAGCAGACTGGGCGGGACTAAAATGTTCAATCAATCAGTTCCAACTTTGCAAGATCTTTTTTTTCCTATGAGAAGTTAAAATTGATTGATTGAACCTTTTTGTTTTGCACACGGCGGCGGAGGCCTAAAGTGAAAAGGTTTTATAAAACCCAGCTGAAGGCCTAGGACTGGGGCAACAGTGCACGTGCCCAGAGAGAGGGCTCTGCGTGCCACCTGTGGCACCCATGCCATAGGTTCGCTATCACGGACCTAGACCATATTGTCCATGTGGGGCCTTTCACACAGAACTGGGATCTGCTTTTGTTCTCTGACCCAAACTTTAGGAGATGAAATGCAAGATGAAACACCTGGATTGCTCCTAGACTCTTCATTAGATTAAGATAATCTAACTGAGTTTAGGTAAGAATCCATATAAGGGCTTAAATCGAGAGCAACAAAGCCACATATTTTTCCCGTTATTGTATCTGCCAATATCTGCTTAGTAGCAATTTTTGAAGATGACCCATTCCCTGCTTTGGAGGGATGGATCACAGGGGTAACTGCAGGGCCATAATGAGGAATAATTTTACTATTTGATAAAATTGCTCAGATTTGAATTGATTTGGACATATAAAAAAGCTAGAAAAGTTTGTATTCAAATACACATAACTGTTTCAGAGGATATTAAAGATTAATATTCAACTGAGCTCAGTCTTTTCTTGGCAGATGTAAACACTTGGAAAAAAGTTATGAACTTTTTTTTGTATATGATAATGGCAGCAAGATTATCCTATGCATATAAATAGAAAACTTGGCGTTAGGCACAATGGTTGATGTAGATGATGGAAATTTCTGAGGTGGTAAATTGAATTTTGATCAGAGCAAAGACAATATCCATGTTTATTGCTGAATATTTTGTATGAAACCCCTAGTGGACTTTTGCAGAAAAAAATAAAAATTATGATTTATGGCTTTTATGATTAGAAAGGACAGATTATAGAAAGAAGAGAGTTTTGTTATAACCATAGAATAAGTATGGTAAATACATAATTGTACTTAAAACCAGCATATACAAGGCATATGCAAAAAGTGTATGTCAAAAAACACAAGGCAGACCCAAAAGAAGATAGACAAATCAAACAGACACTACAACAATATCAATTAACAATGTTTGAGGTTGCCAGAAGAATAAGAGTCAGAACTTTGTATCAATACCCTAAGCTGTAAGTAAGAGGAAGTAAAGAAAAAGAAGACTTAAAACCGCTGTAAAAGAAAATTGGAAGCCATTTCCTTGTATTTTTTCTCTTTTTCTGTTTTTCTTTTTCCTTTTCTTGTATTGATTTTATAGGTAGGTAGGTAGGTAGGTAGGTAGGTAGGTAGGTAGGTAGGTAGGTAGATAGATAGATAGATAGATAGATAGATAGATAGATAGATAGATAGATAGATAGATAGATAGATAGATACGTGTGTGTGTGTATACACACACACACACACACACATTTTGAAGGCAGAAGGAGAAGGGTACGCACAGGATGAGATGGTTAGATAGTCAATACAGGGGGCATGGGTTTGGTTAGAGTCCAGGTGACAGTGGAGGAAAGGTGACCTCGCATGTTGTGGTCCATGGGTTCGTGAAGAGTTAGATTCAGCCAGAAGATTATCTATGGTTGAATTATGGAATGATGTTTTCCTCTCTGTGAGAAGAGGTGGTCTTTTCAGCTTTGAAGGAAGCTGCAGTGCACCATCTCTTAACAGACCATTATTGGACTTAGCCATCCTGGACAGTTTCTATCTAATCTTCCCTTTTTTAAGAAAGTTGGTGGAGAGGGCGGTCAGGCTTGAGTTCTAGAGCTCAAGAGTTGCTTTACTCCGACTAATATACTTTGTTATATACTTATTTCATATGGTTTGCGCAGCCTTATCCACAATTTGAAATTTCCCCATAGCATAAAGCAATCAGATTGTTTTATAGTATCTCAATACCATTTAACAAGTACATTTGGAAATAAATGTTTATTTTTCCATTTAATTAGTGTAAAAAACTAAATATAGCTTAATATCTGAAATGCAAATGCTGGTATTTTTTATTCTGTTAGGATTTCAGTAGTTTATGGATCCTATAGTATTTTTTTCAGTTATATGGATTTATTATCAACTTACACTTAGTTTATCAATTGGTGGTTACGTCCAGTCCTATCAGGGCACTAAATACCGACACATTATCACTGTACAGCAGGCTGCCAACAGAGACAGTCTTCTCCTAGTCATTAACAAGTGCAATGTATGCAGAACACCAGAGGGGAATTAAAACCACAAAAAATACCTCAGGGTGGTATTTTTAATATGAGAATTTAATTTGTAATTTCACAGATTAAGAATTTTGGTTGCATTAATCCTTTTATCAGCTCACAGCAGGTTATTTGCAGAAGCATAACCATAAGGCGATATTCATTGGCCGAAACATGTCTTTGCATAACATTAAACATCAGGAGCAGTGAAACCTTTTGAAGGGTGAGAATAAAGATGAAAATCATTATATTTTTAGACAAGGTTCTGCTAAATGCCTCCAGTAAATTTCTGAGTTTAGAAATACTGTTTCTGTCCATAGTAGATAATCATTACAAAGCATAAATCAAGATGCAAGAAAGGATAACCCCTATATTAAGTATTATTTGTTTATATTTATTTTGCATTGATATTGCAAATGTATTGAAAACAATTTATAAGATTATAGAAAATATTGATATGATAACTGATATTGATGCTTTTCCATGTATCAGTAAATATTTCCTATTTAAATTATGTATTACCGGTAATTTAAAATTTGTATCAATAGATATTTATGTAGTAAATCATATGCAACAAATCTAAAGCAATTACTGTATCTTAATAATTAAAATATAAATATATATAACTCAAGTTAGAAACTACTAATCTTGCTTACTAATTAGAAACATAGATGGTGTTTTTTCCCCCCAAATATTCAAGTATCCATGGTGAAAAGAATAAATTTATGTATACTATTTTCTCTCTTTTAATTTCTCCATCTTCCTTCTCTCTTTCTTTCATACACAGATCTTATGAAACCATTACAAGTGGGCAATTTTTATTTTCAGTAATAAAATAATATAACATTTGTTTATTAAAATGTTGATATGTTAAATTATATAAGAAAATATTTTAATTATTCTCATGTGGAACTGCTAGCAGATTAATAAACTGAATGATATTAACTGGACTAATCTCTACTGGATGGTTTAAAATGTTCGGCTATATATCTATGAAAGGTAGAAATAGGTAGAAAAGGAAAAATGGAGTTTTTGTTAAAAATGTGGAAAAGTATAGAGTTTTATGTTAGGCAAAGGTAATGGTCACCAGATAGCATTCTAAAACTTTCAATACAGACACTACTGCTGATCAACATTTTTTTGCTTTTTTATTATAATACAGAAGCTCCCTTTTTATTATTAGAAGGCACATTGTGCCTAACTAGCTCATTGGAGTGTCTCAGAACTTTTTTTTTACTTTCCGATAGGCATTTGTTTCTGTTAAATACATCTTTCAAAAGTACTCTGCTTGGGAGCAAGTTAATGTGTTTGGAGTTTAAGGAGGATTGTTTGGGAGAAAATTGATATACTGGGAGTATAGAATATCTGTAGAATAGTGTCTCTCGTTAGTGATAGATTTCAGCATGTAAGTTAAAGGTAAGTAGTCAATGGTGAAGTTAATATCAATTGACTGCCCATTACAGGGAGGGGGGAAGGGAAAGAGAGACATAAGGATTTAAAAATCAGAATTATCTAAAGTAATATGAAACAAGCAAGTCTCACCTGAAATGAACATTGATGAAAGGTATAAGGACACAATAGAGGTATGTTGGAATCTAGAATCAAACGGAACACCCTATCAGACAGAATAAAGTTCCAGAGTGAAAAAATAGTGAGAATGGAACTGGCAGAACTTAGATAGAAAGCCAATACCACCATTACCTTCAGAATGAATCCCATGGGAGATGGTGAAAATCTTGAAGAAGACAGCTTCAGTTTCACTGGGTCAAATAGCTGGAGAGTCGAAGAAAGCAAAAGATAATGAATTATGACTGGCATCTTGGTGAGACATTTCAGAGGAACCCTCTGAAAAAATCAGTTATAGGGATACAGTTAAGTATGAGGGTTGATGTTATATTGATAGAAATGAGCATCAGATAAGTGACAGATTCTTACAGCTCACTTTGGGAACTTATTTTCTGAAGTTTTTCAGCTGGATATTGTTTTGCTGCAGGCAAGCAATTACAGTAGGTCAAAATTGCAGTTCTTGGAATCATGTGTTCTTAATTAGAGTCCTGATATAATTCATAACTCCTTTGTTTTATGGAAAATAATAATGATGAACAATTGGGGTTGAATTTTTTCACGAGAACATTTCCCTCAGTATTCTTGATCAAATTCTTATTTTTTAATATTTAAAATATTTAAAGAAAATTAGAATTTGAAAGCAATTTGACTTATACTAATCTATTGGCTTGAGGTTTGAGGCACACAATTTGAAAAAGTTCTAGCCCTCAGGAATGATTAGCATAGTAGTTCTGATTATCTTTGCTGAGGATATTTGGGTTTGTACCAGCTTCTTCATTTATTTCATTATATACAGAAGCCCTAGAAAATTTTGTCTTCAAATACTGTTGTCACTAGTATTTTTAAGCTTTTTCTTCTTTTAAAATTTGTTTATATAGAAGTTGGCCAAGAAAGCAGTTTATTTCTCTTTTCTAAAACAGTAATATGAAATATATTTTTCTTGACAGTGTCATCTATTTTTTCTGTATCGAATGTAAGACTGCAAGTGGAAGCTGGAGAAAGCACAAAAGCTTTTGGGAAAAACATTTATGGCAAAGGTCAATCACATGTAAAGCACTGAAGAGAATTTTGATTTCCTACAAATAATTGAGGTAAGTCCTACTAAAAAGTGTTTGTTTTTAGTAATTTTTTTCTATTCTGTCCTTGACATACAGTTTTTTAAAGTAAAACACTCTTTCTTAATATACAAGTAAGAATTGTTTCTGC